GGGGGGCCACCTTCACGGAGCTGGAAAATTCACTTCAGTTCACTTCAAGCCTACTACTCCTGTGGGGAAATGTGTTTTAAGCCTCATTCCATCAGCAACACAACCAGGAAGACAAACATTCCCAACAGTACAATAGTGTTACAGTGAGAGAGGTTTTGCGGTGGGGATGAGTCTGTTAGTTTCAACTGAGCACAGAGGAGAAGAGTGTAAATTCACAGTGGAGGGGTGAGACACACGCCGTCAAGATCTTTGCCTTCTTATAACCTTTTGTTTGTACAGGAATTGGAGTTGATTTGATTTGCCCTGGTTATGTTGCTACCTATTGTTACATATTTTCCCAACCTGTTACAATTAACCGTACTGATGTTTCCAAACATGACAGCTTGTTAAGACACTTTCAATAAATGACTGAAAAGGGGTGTTAAAATAGTTCTCTCTACACTGAAATGGATGGGTTTTCTAAGAAAAACTGAGTCTAAGTTGACCTTTTTCATAAATAGTGTCACAACAACTGTACTGTCTTAGGTTTTTGTCATTGTCCTTGACTATTTCTACAGACTGACCATTAATTACAGTAGATTTGAAGGTGTTGCATTTTTCATAAAATCATTGAGCAGTTCCTTTGTTTTCACTAACTTCAACATAACTTCTGGGAGAACTCATCACTGCATGTAGTAAAATCATTTAGCAAGGCCCTTTAATAAGCTGACCAGGGCTCTTCCTGAGGTCTGTGTGTTTGCTCTTCCAGCTGTTAGGGTACAGAATGTACAGTATGGTGAAGACACAGCCCTCGGGTGATCCAGTGGAAGTGTAGTGAATGTCAGATAACCAGCTCCCCAATCTGACCTGGTGAGACCTGTCTGTGTAGAAGTAGAGGAACCATCTCATCGAGTTACTGTGAGAGTTTCCGTTCCAGCAGTGCTGGTTGTCTTGGGCAGGTTTGACAGACTGGCTGTGTGTGAACTAACCTGTCTCTCTAATGTTGCTGAATGGCAGCGGCTCAGAGGAAGATGATGGCCCAGACTGCCAGCTCCACCCCTGGGGGGACCGTTGCTACGGAGACAAAATCGCCTACAGCCATGCAGATCACACGGGATCTCCTGCGGAGCAAAGGAATCGCCGGCCTGTA